CCTCCAAGATATGTAATTGTAAGGGAGATAGCATTCTTTTGTTAATCCTGACATGAGCTAAAAGTTTTGATCATGTTATGCCCTAAATAAATTCTTCTTCCTTTTTTTTTCGTTGTATTTGTGTAACAAGTAAATGTAGCTCCATTTACTGTGTTTCTAGCAAGTGGCAGATATCATAGAGATATGCTCTGTACATAGTGGCTGTTGAGGCCGGGACTGACGGAGGGTGGTTATCCGTTTCTATCATAGGACTGTGATTTGACCAGCATATATTTGGTTGATAGCTGCATTGAGTTTGCTTATAATGCATTTGGCAGATTTGGCAGTCAATGTTGATAAGTTTTTGGTTACAAATATTTTCTCCCTGTGCTTCCTCAAGTTGCTAATGTTTAACTTTGGTATGATGATGAAATAATCCCCCATAAATTTAAGAGCTGAGTAATTAAGCCCTGGATGGTTTTGCACAGAGAGTTAATTCTAAAGATTGAAGAGGGCAAATACATTTAATTATTTATATCTTTAGCATGCCGCCGCAGTATCTGGAGGATGTCTGAAAGGTCTAGCAAATGGGAATATTGGGTAATGGTGAGACTGATCTCATGAGCATTGGTTGTTCTGATACTGTATTACACAATTCTATTGTCTAAAAGTTTAATCCATTAGAAATGGGAAGAGAATTATTTGCCTTCAACCATTTGCATGTGATGTGGTCTTTATGTTTTTAAATTCTATGCAGAATTATTAGATAGATCGGCCTCATTTAGCTTTTTTGTACAGTTACTGAGATAAGTTCAGACTCGAGTCTGGCTGAAGCTGTGAAGTTACTGGCCCGGAATAAAATTCTCAGTGCACCTGTGGTGGATTGCAGAGCGCCTGAAGATGCTAGTTGGATTGACAGATACATAGGCATTGCAGAGTTTGCTGGCATTGTTGTCTGGATCTTACATCAGGTTTGTAGACCTATGGAATACCTGAATATGGAAGTATTTGGATGACTTATATATCTCACTAAAGTTGTCTAATCACTGATGGAAGTGATTCGTAATGAAATTAGATATTGATGGTTATTCTACTGCAGAATGAAAAGGAAAAGTCCCCGATGTGGTTGTTTATTCCTTAAATGAGTCTTTCGTACAAACTTTTTGTTCCATCACCTTAAGACGGGACTTTATGACACAGATTGATCTGCCTCCCAGTCACACAATATAAAACTGTTGAACTAAGTATAAAGAACAGGCAAGGACAGGCTGAAGGATTTCATGCGTACTCTCTTTTTTCTTTAAAATTTTTGGATTTTGTATATTAATAATCTGTAGCCCTGAGATCTTGTTTAAAAAATTTATGAGGGAGTTCAACAAAGTAGAAAATGTATTTGCTCAATTATCTGTTAATATTACTTGGCAGATTTTACTTCCCTAATTATTTCAAAATGGTAAGTACTTTTTGTGGGTCTCAAAGATCCTTTAAATATGAAGCTAAAAAGAAGTCACATTTTAATTTTTTTGGCAGTCAGAAAAGATGGAAGGTGGCGATTTCTTCGATTTGGCAATGAATAGCTCGGATAATGATTTTGGTCCTGCTGTTGCAGTGGCAAGTAATGGAATGTCTTCACCGAGGTTTAAAAGTATACACCCTGACTCTCCTACAGCAACTTGTGGAAAATTTTTTGAGATGCTTACTTCTTCTGACTTCTATAAGGAGACAAAGGTTATTTGTTCTACTTCCGGCCCTAGCTTTCAATATTTCTCATGTTCTTGAAATGACCTTTCTCCTTTCAGTCTTCCAGTCTTTTATCGAAAGTTAATGCTTTGCATTAATTGATGAATAAACAGGTTGGGGATATCTCGGGATCTTTTCGCTGGGCTCCATTTCTCCCGTTGCAGAAATCTAACTCTTTTCTGACGATGCTCCTGCTGCTATCAAAATACAGAATGAAGAGTGTTCCTGTGGTTGATTTAGGGGAAGCTAAGATTGACAACATCATCACGCAATCCGCTGTTATTCACATGCTGGAAGAATGTTCTGGACTTCATTGGTTTGAAAGCTGGGGATCGAAAAAACTATTTGAACTTGGTCTGCCACTAATGAAAGCTAGTCAGATTATTAAGGTGCGTAAATATAATATAAACCTATGTGGACCGAGTCCATAGATTGACACGAATCTTCAATGGATGCAATATCTTGGATGTAATATGTGGTGTCTTCATAGTTAACTGCATATGAAGGACCTCTGCATTTTGTATTAATCAGAGGAGAAATGCTACATGTACCACATGGTTTACAGAAATTACAGGTGGCAAGATCTCACATCATCTTTGACAAAAAACAGTCGATCCAGCCATTGAAATGCTGTCATGTATGAATTGTACAAACAGCTTTGTTCTAATCAGAATTCTCTTCTGCTGTCATTAAATCAGTCTGAATATAGCATATGTAGGTGGTAGATTGCTGGCTCTGTTTTTGTATTTCTTTCCACGTGATTTTGTTTCTCCCTCCCGCTCTTCCATGCTGTTTGGGGGGATTGGGTGGGACGAAATTGCATAGATTTGGCTGGCATTTGAGATTTAAATTCTATTTTTTTGTTTGCTCAAATGATGATTTTACAGGTATCCAAAACCTTAGATGCATGTTGGTACACATTACTGGACAAGACTGGATAGTCTAACATTCAAGATTTTAACTTCTTTTCTATGTGTAAACCAATTGTTACAACAGAATGACAGATTTTCTCATAAATTTTAAAATATGTATATGGCCTTCGTCGGAATTGTACTTAGAACATGTTTGGGAAGTGTTTGTAAATGGGCCAAATTATAAATAGATAGAAACATATGTAGGTCCGGCAAAACACGTGGATAAAAAGTGGCTTGAGCATTAATAACCAGTTTATAAACATAAGCCAAACATGGGCTTATTTACCTGCATCTTCTAGTCTTTATACATGGATCACTTCTGTTTCTGTTATTGTCTAATATTAAGCTGCATGAATCAGAATACCAGAGTTCTTTAACATCGATGGATCCGTAATTGTCTAATATTAAGTGGTGGACAAACTAATATTTTGCTTAGTTCGTACATTTCTGTAGTTTGAGCATATATCAGCAAATATCGTCATCTTAATTACAGATTCTGGTTTACTTGGGATTCTCAGAATTTTATTTATATGTTTCTTAATTTTCTTCAGGTGTGTGAGGACGAGCCTGTGCTGCAAGCATTTAAACTAATGAGACAAAAGGGAATTGGAGGATTACCAGTGGTTCAAAGTGGTGGAAATAAGGCAATTGGTAATATAAGCATCAGAGATATCCAGTTCCTTCTCATTGCGCCGGAAATCTACAACGAATACAGGTTTGTAATCTACTATGGAGGTGTGCAATATTTGTATCTGAATTAAGGCCGCAGATTCATATTGCAACATAAGTGGATTTATACAATTCTTAATTCTCAGTTAGTCTTATTATAATTACTGGGTATTGTTCTTAGTTATGATTCGTGAGTAGATAATAGAGTATTAATGCACTCATTTGGCATGTTAATTCAGGTCTATCACTGCCAAGAACTTCCTGACAGCAATTAGACGGTATCTAGGGGAGCATCAAAAAGAGTCGCCATTGTTGAGTGGCATGGTTACCTGCCTAAGAGATGAGACGCTGAAAGAAGTTATTGTGAAACTTGATTCGATGAAGATCCACCGGATATATGTAGTGGATGAGACTGGTGATCTAGAGGGGGTGATAACCCTAAGAGACATAATCTCGAAGCTAGTACACGAGCCCCGTGGATATTTTGGTGACTTTTTCGATGGTGTTCTGCCCCTGCCTGCCAACAGTAGGGTATAGAGTATTAATGCACTCATTTGGCATGTTAATTCAGGTCTATCACTGCCAAGAACTTCCTGACAGCAATTAGACGGTATCTAGGGGAGCATCAAAAAGAGTCGCCATTGTTGAGTGGCATGGTTACCTGCCTAAGAGATGAGACGCTGAAAGAAGTTATTGTGAAACTTGATTCGATGAAGATCCACCGGATATATGTAGTGGATGAGACTGGTGATCTAGAGGGGGTGATAACCCTAAGAGACATAATCTCGAAGCTAGTACACGAGCCCCGTGGATATTTTGGTGACTTTTTCGATGGTGTTCTGCCCCTGCCTGCCAACAGTAGGGTCTAACTTGAGCTGGTTTGTTTTTCTAAAGGAGTTTTGTATTAACAAGATTGTTATTGTAGTCATTAATTTGGCTACTTTCTGGTCATCTCTGTGTTTCTAGTACACCTCTATCCAGCATTCTCTTGGCTGTCAATTAATGGATAGAGTTCTTGACTGAATTTTCTGTCCTGAGATTTGAGTTTGTTTAATGGAAAATGTTGATATTTATTCAGAACTGGTCGCGTCTACCTGATTGCACATTGACTGTGGGGGTTATAGACCAGGCAAAATTGTTTAGCTTAGGGTAGAAAACATCTGCCAAGCTGAGACTTAAAGAGGGCAAGCAAGTTGGTTGTGTATGTCTAAAGCATTTAAAATACAAAAATAGATAACTAAGTCTAAATGGAGTTACGTTGCATAAGAATCCATTCTACAAAAGCAAACATGATTCTCAAACAGATCCAAAAAGATGGGTAGACACAATTTGAGACTTAAGGGAGAAAATGGCTGACAAAGAAGTAAAGAGTTATGGAGAATGGCAATTCAATGGCCTCACCGAGATGGAAAGGGGTGAAAGACGGCATCTGAAATGAATTTAATGCTCATGATGTGTGAGGGAGAGACATCAACAGTAGACTTACCATTATTTCCTTTAAATTAACCTGTCGAGATTATTGTGATTGTGGATGATATAACCAAAAAATACGTACCTCATTGGACTATAACTTATTGTTTTGGAGGGTAACGCTTACTTGTTTTATGTACAAGTAGCTCCAGGTTTTTCTATGACTTTTTATCGATATTCGACGGTGATTGAGGCTTTTCTCTCTGTTCAATGCATATAGTCCGAATGTCCGATTAGTTCATCAATGGTCCGTAATTATGATGGTGCTCCATGTTTTTTCCCGTTTATCTCATCGGTGGATTAGGAGGGGGAAAAATACATTATTCCTCATAAATTTGGGGTATGCCACACGAATCCTTTTTCGTTTCAGTTCATCGCTACATGTGCTGGAAGATCTAATATAACCAGAAAATTTGCAATCACAACATACCATATTAATTTTGGCATACCTCTAGTTATTGCAACCTGCTCTCCTAAGATCAAATCACTTTAATGGACCACGTTTTCTGCTTCCTTCATAGTAAATTGGTACAGTGGAAGTACTTGACAACCCCAGTTGAGCTGGGATAAAAATGGGGGTTAAAATACTGTTTATCCTGTGTCTGGCGTGGTTCTTACTTACAGAACAATGGTTCCTAAAATATTAGAAAAGGTAGGCGAAAAAGGCGTGATCACTCTCTCACTTGGAATTTCAATCCCTGGAGACATGGAGTGGTATATTAATGATATTTATCTTCCGGTAGATAAATGGTCAGCTTAATTTAAATCCACATTATCAAATTCTTAAGCCGGAAGCAATCATCTGTTAATCTCAAACTTCTTCTGCATCATATTTAAATTTTTTAACATTCTAGACATTTTGAGGCGGTATGCTCGTAATCTACCCTAAAAGATGGTGACCTTATTATAAATTAGGTCCCTTATTACTCAATCATCTGCCACACTCAAAGCAGGTTCTATTTTATAGCATATCATGTCACATAATCAGACAGAGTAAGCCACCTATCCAGGGATACCTGCCTGGCTAAGCTAATTACTCACTCATTGAAATAATATCCTGAATACTATACCTTGCTTTATGAATAATTTATGGCATGTAGAAACTCTTGACTTGAAAGGCAGCAAAAAAAAACGACATATAACTAGGTCTCCGCTCATAATTGGTTCTCCGCATTCACTATGAAGATCCATAACCAAACACGTGAGATTGCATGGAAAACCCAAAATGGAACGAGTACTACAAAGAAGAAAAATCATCCAGAAGGCAAAATTCAGTTTGGAGGACAGTATACATCTGCCACAGGTAGCTTCCAATTCTCACTCAATCCCTCCCATTTCATTTTACCTTTTACCCTTCAACTTAAGCAATCATATCGAGTAGCATATCCAAAATTTAAGTCTTTAGTGCTGCAAGGTATTTGACCATAAACAGACTACTAAGCCATTGTTGTCAAGATATCTTTCAATTCTAAATATGACTCATGTTTACAAATACATGAAACAAAATTTAGTTCAAACACATAAAAGACAGTACATGTACAGAATTATTACAGAACAGTAGACATCTTTCACAATAATTTGTTCAACACATCCAAACCAACAAGTACACGACCAAGCATAATGTAGGGAGTGCAACTTCTTGTTGACCAGGGCGGTAAGCATACCTCTTTCTGGTCTTGCATTCTATGTACTTTTTCGTCTCATATGGTGCAGAATAAGGGGTGTTCCCTCAAACAGATCCAACAAATAATTCTCTAACTCGTCTGGAGTGTATTTTATGTACTTACCAGCATTCCTCCCACTTTCTAGATGGCTGCCAAACCTACCCACAAAAGCTCGATATGCTGGTAATACTTTTTCCGAAATGGATATCCGGAGCTCTTCTCGAAGCTGAGGATCTGGGACCTTCCAAGCTGTCTGAACCCTATAAATATCTTCAAAGCAAGCATTAAAATTTTTGAATCTTTCCTTCAAAGCCACCTTTGATGCATTACTTGAACTCCCCACAATTCCTATTCCTACATCCTTCAAGCAAGATAAGGCATTGCTCCATGATGCCCTAAGATATTGTGTAGCATACTGTCGAATCTGACCTCGTCGCTTTTTAATCCAGTTATCACCCAAAAGGTTTTGGAGCTCTGAGTCTTTCACTTTCTGTACGATATACAGTATATTATTCATTAAAAATATATACTGCATTGCCGTATCCTCGTACATTCTTGATTTCTCTTCAAGATTTGATTCCAAAGACTTCATCAATGCCAACAGGCGCTGACCTATCAGGGACATGCTTTTCATCTCCGAATTGTCAATGTTTCCAATCTCCACCCGTCTTAACTCATCCTCTGCATTCTCCAAAAGTGCATTGAGAGTATCACTATAATCCACTAGCAACTTCACATAATTCATAACATATCGAGTGAGTGGGTGAATTTCACCATTCTGCAATGTCTTCCTAGAAGACTCCGTCTGAACTGCATTCTCAAACTCCATGAAAGTCCCAATGGCAGCCTCACCCAAACCATCCAATACTCCTTTCGCCTCGCTACATACCATATCACCTGCCTCTTCGTCCATAAATAGCGACTGCAAGTCTGGCAAAACCCCTGCCAATGCATCAAACATATCAAGAATCCTAAACAGTTTCTCTGAGGACCTCCTGCCAATAGCAATAGCCTCTCCAAAATTCAACAACTGCATTACGGAGCCCTTTGATGTCTCCAAAAAGCAAACTTCCTTGATCAAATCAGACCCAACAAATATCTGCTCGCAGAGGTCTTTTTCACTCGGCAAAAGCATTCGAACAATTATTTTAACTGCTTGAATCCATTTCTTCATTTTATCATCCAGCAAACGCCACTCAACCCTCTGGACCTCCTCAATGCTCAATTTTTCAACCCCGAGAATAACCAAACATTCATCAAGAACATCACGGCGGACACTACAATACACCTGGCAGCATTCCTTTTCATACCCCGATTGGATCATGCGATCTGCGATCTGTCTCAAATCAATTACTGCATCCTGCTGTATCAAATCAAGGGACACATCATCTCCCCCAAAACTCATGCCCCTTCCTCGGCGGCGGTGGCTGTACCGCCCACTACTGACATCATCCAGGCTTTCGCTCACATCATCATCAAAAATATCAGAGGCGGCAATGGTTGCGGTCGACGAGTAATGAAAGGAGCGATGGAGCCGCTCCGGGTCTAGGGGCACAGTGTTTCGGATGAGAATGTGCCCGAACTCATCCTCCAGTCGCATCATTGCCACCTGCAGCGCGTTCTCCGCCCGGTCCCTGATGTCATATCTGGCATCAGTCGCTTGGGCCTCAGCCTGAAGTTCCCCATCCCGATAATTCAAATTCAATTCCTCGGTCGCTTGAATCAACTCATCAACGGCGGCCAAGTAATCATCTGTTAAAGCAGACGAATTAGCCTCGTTTAAAATGATCTGCTCGGCGGCCTCGAAGCGGGGGTCCACGGCGGAGGAGGCAGATTTCTGGGCACCCGACGAAGGGTCATCCGACGATACAAAGGAGGATAGCGTGGAGAGACGGTTATCAAACGCCGAGAGGATAAGAAGCATGTCGTCGGTGTCGGAAGTGTTATGGAGGCTCCGTACGATGCGCTGCGCCGTGGCCAATACCTTATCCTGTCCTTCCGTCGTCGCGGCCATCGTTAAAAGTTTGGGTACGAGAAAATATTTAGATAGAGGAGATGCTGTTTGTAAAATTTAGGGTTTGGGAATTAGGGAAAAGGGGTTGCAGATTCTTGAGATTCGAGGAAGTCTTCGGGGAGTTGAAAGTTCAAACCTTCGGTGTGTATGAGATGTCCATTTGTTTTCTAATTTTCTTCTCTCAAATCCGTGTGACGTGGGTGTCCGATGATTGGATTTATAAGAGGATCCAACGTTGTTATTGACCGTTTCGTTCGGGTCCAAGCTCCGGAACTTGAACGTTCCAGTGGGTGTGGTAAACTTCGTCTAGATTTTCTTGTTTGACATTTTGGTTGTGTTGATTACATGAAATTTACATCAAAAGAAAATAAATTATAAAAAATTTAATT